TTTTTTTTTTTTTTTTTTTTTTTCTCTCTCTTTTGAATGCCGTTCTAATTGTGATCCCACCCATGTGACTTTACATATATTGTTCCCTTGACATTTCTTTTTTCCCTTTTCTTTCTTCAAGAGTTCAGGAAAAATGAACTTGAACCTGTGTGACGTAAAGTGAAGCCCAAATGCTACAGTCAACGGTTTCTTAAATTGGGTCAGCCCATGGACCAACCCATTTAAATTATACTTGGATCGGCCCATTGACGGACCGCCCAAAAATTAAATGTTTTTTAAAATATAAAAATATAGTTTATTTAAAAAATAATTATTGTATATTTTGCTCAACAACCATCAGACAGGAGTTGGACGATTAAACCGAATAGTTATAAATTACCAATAAAAGATATAAATTAATTTTTATATGATAAAAAGTTTCCAATTGTGAAATAAAATAATATAACGTCCAAATGAGGATATATAGCGCGTACTTGACTTATGACCAATTCAAGGGAAACGACACGGCAACCCACGAGTAAAATTCATTTCTTTTCCTTGACCGACGTGTCGACCAAATTAAAATCTATCGTTATTAATTCTCTTGGAAATTAAGATAATTATGTCCAGATTCGTACTTTTTATTTTTATTTTCTTTTTCTTAAAAAAAAAATCAAGGAAAGGAAGAGGAAATGGTCAAGCTTCTTCTATATGAAGATTATTTACAATTTTATAAATATTACAAATCTCTTCCTCTGATCCGTTGTATATATTTCGATTCTCTTCTCAAAATCTTCGACCACAAGGGGAAGTGCTCAAGAACATGCGAAGATTTTGAAATGAGTAATCGGACAGGACTTCTTCGAATTCGCCTGTTGCGAGGCATCAATCTCGCCATTCGTGATGCTCCCACCCGCAGCAGCGATCCCTACGTCGTCATCTCCACCGCTAACCAGGTTCCTTCTTCCACTTCCGATTCATATTCACCGATCTCTCTTCCACGCATCCCGTTATAGGATATTTGTTTGTTCAAGTGTTGAACGGTCCAGATTTGGATTTGGATTCTTATTTTTTGGAACTTTCTGAGGAATGTTCGTCAAAATTTTCCGGTTTTTTCTTATTTTCCCGTTCGAATTTCCTTTCAAAACTTCGCGAGCCGTTCGAATTCGGATTGCGACTTTCAGATTTTAAGTTTCTGTTCGGATTTGCTGTTTCGGCTTCTGATTATAATTTTTTTCTTTTGACTTTCCTTCGAAATCTTCGTCAAATTTGTCCACTTTTAGGTTTTCGCTGTTTAGATTTTCCCTTTCTTAACTGTGCAAGCGGCTTCAATTCTGATTGCGAATATTTGTCGATTTTTTCAGTATTTAGGTTTTTTGTTCGGATTTTCCCTCTCAATCTGTCCAAACAGATCAAATTCTGATGGCGCTTTCTTCGTTGCAAAATATTCGTCCAACTCTTCCGCGTTAAATTTTTTTTGCTCGATTTTTTCCTTTCGAAACTATGCAACCGATTCTGATTGCAGATTGCGATTTCTCCGTAACTTCCATTGGAAGCTCTCGGAGTATTCATGAAGTTTATTCGTTTTTTCTTTTTCATTGTATCTTATGGCATGACTCTTTTGATACTAATTTTTTGTACAGAAATTCAAATCTCGAGTGGTGAAAAAAAACTGCAATCCACAATGGAACGAGGAATTCACTCTCTCAATTACGGACATCAACACACCAATCAAATTAGTAAGTCAAATCACGCGCTTTTAAACCGAGAAATTCAGACAATCTTACAAACTTGTGATCAAACATTAAACAAATCACTGACATTTGTTTCCATCACTGGATTCTCAGGCAGTGTTCGACAAAGATCGGTTCACGAAAGACGACGGAATGGGGGATGCAGAGATCGACATAAAACCGTACATAGAGTGTTTGAATATGGGATTAGAGAGTCTGCCTAAGGGTTGTGTGGTGAAAAGGGTTCAACCAAGCAGATCAAACAACCTTGCAGATGAGAGCCCTTGCGTTTGGAACGATGGTAAGATCATCCAAGACATGACTCTCAGATTACAGAATGTTGAATGTGGTGAAATCGCGATTCAGATTCAGTTGTTCAATGCTTCTGGGATTAAAGGCATGAGAACCTACTCTTTATCCTGAAAAACATCGCCTCCTCCAATGCTTCTGGGATTAAAGGCATGAGAACCTACTCTTTATCCTGAAAAACATCGCCTCCTCCTTTGATTTCATTTGTTCGTGTTCGTCATTGCGATGCTCTGTTCCTGCTCCGCTTTCTCATTTCACACCAATTCCAGAAATCAGATACGTTTGATTTAGTCGTGAATGTAAATTTGCATTGTGTGTGTTTCTTGTGAAATGATTTTGGTTTGCCTACAAGAAGTTTGTACCCCCAGATTATTGGTTCGTTTGAATGTTATTCTTTCCATTGTTATATTGCGTACTAATTTGAGGCGTGGACAAATATTAATTATCTGTAGTAGCTACTGATTGTGTGAATTGATTCATTGTCTTGGAGAAATCATCATATTGAACTCGTTTCTTTACATATATATACACGCACATATATAGAGAGAGAGAGAGTTGTGGGATATTAAATGAGCCACCATCGAGTAATATCGAAGAGACCTTACAAAGATTGTAAATTTCAATGTATTAGTTGTGTTTGTGTCTCCAACGGGTTGTTTGACCTAAGCTTAATCTACTCTATTATTGACTCCATAGATTTTGAAATTTTGAAGGTTGGAGAAAGTTCTCCAACAACTTTGGACAACTATTCTACTCTCTTTAACTTTTTAAAATAATCTTGTTCATCTTTGGCGACCAATAATCACAAGTCCTTTTCCATGAGTTTTCATGAGGTCGTGTTAAGCATGTGCACGTACATGAGTTAATGGTTTTGTATGATTGCAGTGTACAACAAAAAAAATGTGAAACTATATTGGGAACTATTTCATGCATGAATTTCATAGCTATGATGCAAGTAAATCTTGTGGTAATTACGTGCTTGCTGTTTTGGGGGCGTTAGGGATGGTTCTTGGTTTTTGAAACTAAATGCTAGGGTTAGGTGGTAAATGTGTTTAGGTATTGTGTTAGCCTCATGTTCAAAAAGAAATTGACCACTTGATTTTGCTCATGGTTGATTTTTGTATGCATGCATATCGAATTGAGCTTATGGAGTATTTTTAGTTAATAACATGAAAGTGATTAATAAAGTTAGAAGAAAAGGCATTTTATGTTTTTATAGTTCCGTTTTTAATGTGTTTTGTGTTGTAAAACTCCTCAGCAGACTGAATTTAGATGCTTTATAATGGAATTTAGCACTGTTTGGTTTGTTTGTTTAAATGCATGCGTTCCGAAGTTGTTTGTCAAACGTTTTGGGTTTTAAACAGTTTATTTTACCTGTTTTTAGAGCAACTTTTATGTTTTTGAACTATACAATCATTTATCACGATGATTGATTCTTGTACGAAAAGTCGGATTATTACGTTAAAAATGAAGGACTTCTGATTGGTTATTGATTCTATTCAAATCATACAAAACGCGGATCATTTCTTCCCTTCTCTTTCCAGATATCTCTTGGCTCTTGTTAGATTTCTGTTCATATATCCTCCAAGCAAAGAGCTTTCCAACACAAATAGACCCAAACAAAAGGAAAATATAAATAATCCACATCTTCATAGAATAGATCAGTTCCGAACAACACATAAAACAAACAAGAAAAAAATCCATCACACAAAGTTTGGAATCTCGTTCATAGATATTTCTTCTCCAACAAAATTCAAATGTAGGGCTCTAATTCAATCTCCCTCTTCTTATCTTCCCCGGCCATCTCCTAATTCAATTCATTTCCAGCAAAACAAATTATTTTTAAAAAAAAACTATTTCTTTCAATCTCTCCAAGCTCTGCAACCATGGCGTCCGCCACTTTGAGCACTTCAACAACAACACGTCTTAAACCCATCACGAGGGCAGAATCATTACCAACTCTGATTCCAAACAGACCCTTTAATCCGAATGTGATTAGTTTCGCATTTTTTAAACGCGCTGCCGGGCGAGGAGCGGCGGGAGCGACAGTGAGGGCGACGTGGAGGACAGCAGAGCAAGGCGGTGCAGTAGCAGAGGACGAGGAGGAGATGGGGAGGATCCGGCGGCTGCAAAATGGGTCGGACGTGAGAGGAGTAGCGTTGGACGGAGAGAAGGGAAGGGCGGTGGATCTAACAGCAGCGACAGTGGAGGCCATTGCCGAGAGCTTTGGGGATTGGATTATTCAGGGGTTAGAGAAGGAGACAGAGTCGCGAGGGGAGCAGCGTGTGAGTGTTTCGGTGGGGAGAGACCCGAGGATTTCCGGCAGTGCTTTGAGTGTCGCTGTGTTCGCGGGAGTTAGTCGGGCGGGGTGTTTGGTGTTCGACATGGGTCTTGCCACCACGCCTGCGTGCTTCATGAGCACCGTCTTGCCTCCTTTTTCTTATGATGCTTCCATTATGGTTCGTATTTGCCACAATTCTTTCTTTTTTGTGCTTCAACACTTAATTTGTTCGTAATACTTTTTATATTTTTAATGTGTTGCAGTTGACAGCATCTCACTTACCATATACACGAAATGGGATGAAGTTTTTCACCAAGAGAGGAGGGTTAAGCTCGCCAGAGGTAGAGGAGATATGTGAGAGAGCCGCCCAGAAGTACGCCAATAGAGTGGTCAAAGTCTCCACCCTTCTCCGAACGCCGCCGTCCAGGGTGGATTTCATGGCAGCTTATTCCCGACATCTTAGAGATATCATTAAGCAAAGAATCAACCATCCGACTCATTACGACACTCCTCTTAAAGGATTTCAGGTCTTCCCTCATTCTCTTTTTCTATTATTAGTCAGTGGTGGACTTGAGCTGTTGCACGATAACCATTCTCCTAATTCTAGATAATAGTGAATGCTGGCAATGGATCGGGAGGCTTCTTTACGTGGGATGTCTTGGACAAGCTTGGCGCGGACACCTTTGGCTCTCTCCATCTCAACCCGGATGGCATGTTCCCCAACCATATCCCCAATCCAGAGGACAAAGTTGCCATGTCACTCACTCGAGCTGCCGTACTCAAACACGGAGCTGACCTTGGCGTCGTCTTTGACACCGACGTTGATCGTAGTGGCGTTGTCGACCGTGAGGGTAACCCGATCAACGGCGACAAACTCATTGCTCTAATGTCGGCCATAATTCTCCGGGAGCACCCTGGGAGTTGTATTGTTACGGACGCTCGCACAAGCGTTGCGCTCACCAAGTTCATCACGGACCGAGGCGGGCAGCATTGCTTGTACCGCGTCGGGTATCGTAATGTGATCGACAAAGGAATTCAGCTGAATGAGGATGGGGTGGAGACGCATTTGATGATGGAGACGTCGGGGCATGGGGCGTTTAAGGAGAATTATTTTTTGGATGATGGGGCTTATATGGTGGTGAAGATTATCATTGAAATGGTGAGAATGAAGCTGGAGGGATCGGATGAAGGGATTGGGAATCTTGTAAAAGATCTTGAAGAGCCATTGGAGTCTGTGGAATTGAGATTGAATGTAATCTCAGAGCCAAGATTTGCCAAAGCTAAGGCCGTGGAGATCATAGAGACATTCAGAAACTTCGTTCAGGTAAACAACACCAACAGATTTTAAAGAATAATTGGAAGATTTAAAGATTTGAAAACTAATGTTAACAGGAAGGGAAGCTGGAGGGATGGGAACTGGACTCATGCGGTGATTGTTGGGTCAGTGAGGGCTGCTTGGTGGACTTGAATGATCATCCCAAGCCCATTGATGCGCAGATGTACAGGTCTGCTTAAAAAATGAAGAATTTAGGATCCGAATCTTGGAGAGTTCACAATCTTGTTAGTACCAACATGATTGATTGAATGATTGATTGATGCAGGGTTAAAGTGTTTGACAAGGAAAGAAGGGAAGTTGGGTGGGTGCATTTAAGGCAGAGTATCCACAATCCAAACCTTGCTTTGAACATGCAATCATCTGTGCCTGGAGGCTGCCTTCAAATCACTACAGACTTCAGAGATAAGTATGTATAAATGCTCCTGCTAACCTCTGCTCTATGCTCAATTTGATGTGTATTTAATTGTGTTTCGGCAGATTTTTGGCGGCCAGCGGCTGTGATCGCTTCCTTGACGTTGGAGAAGTGGAGAAGTTCGCACACACTGGAATTTGAGGATTATGACCTTATGGCGTGTAAACATTATAGTGTTCATAATTTTTTATTACAAATCAAATTTAAAGATAGTCTAGATTTTTTACAAACTTATGGTATAAAATACCTCATTTAAATATTTGAATAAAATTATTTGTAATAATTACAAAGTATGTAGAGGGTTAAGGACGGTGGACTACGAAGATCTCGTATGGAGATAAGGTGGTAGGTCTCTCTGCTATGGTAGACTTGAGGAGGAGTACTCATTTGCCGAAGAACTTGATTCCAACTAAGAGGAGGACTATCCCACTATTAGAATATACGTAGAGGACTAAGACAAAAGAAGGATGAGGCTGCGTTGGAGGAGGCCTTCTTGTTCTTCACCTACTCTTTATCGAGTTCTAACTAGTGTTACTGAAATAAGAAGTTAGATCTCAAATACATAACTTAAACATTTTACCTTTTAAATAAATTAAAATAATTATGATTTAAATTATATACTTATATCCACGATAGTGTTATTATGTTGCAATTTTCAAATATTTTATAATTTTTTTTTTTTTTTTTTTTTTTTTTTTTTTTTTTTTTTTTTTTTTTTTTTT